AGTATTCTACATTTGACAGCCAGTATAGTATCTTTAATTTAAAAAGTTAATTTCACAGAACAACCAAGCTTTACTTAATAAAAATATATAGACATTTACAAGGTTCTTTCTGACAGGCAGTAGACAATTTGGTTTTTATTGGGCAAAAATTCTATAACTGCCAGTTAAAATGGCCAGTGATCAGTAGCTGCGATCAAAAATACCTGAGAATATTAAACTCATTAATCCTTCTATGGGATTAATGGGATTTGCAAAATGAACAAGACTTTAAAATACAAGCAGTATGATTTTTAGTGAAGCATGCAACTAAAATAATCTCAGAGGATTCACTTGTTGCAGAATGGGAATAACATGCATTCGTTTTCGAAACATTCAATAAGACCTAAATATATCTAACATAAACTGCAGATTCAATATATGAGTTACAGTCAATGGTAAAACTACTAGAGTAGTCAAATGACTACTCTAGTAAACTACTAGACTAGTCAAATGACTGTATAAAAAATGACCAATCAAATGGAAACTAGCAGTGTGAGATAGAAATCTTCTGCCAACGTCAGGGTTATGATGCACTATTACAAAAGTCATGATCCACTGTGTTTTTATTTAGAAGACCAAAAAAAGGATTGAGAAGGACAACACAGCTATACCTAGAACTCAGTCCCACTACCTCATTTTTAAGGCCATATCAAAAATAAAATATACTCAGTAAATTCATGATTTTTATCAGAATAAAGCAGAATTTTATAGATCTCTACAGTGATCTTCAGTTTTTAGGAAACAGGTTATTCTGAACCACACAAGGTAAAATCGGAGGTGGTATTCAGCAGGTTCTGACCAGTTCTGGAGAACCGGTAGCGAAAATGTTGAGTAGTTCAGAGAACCGGCAAATACCACCTCTGACTGGAGATTTTACAGTATCCTTCCCCTGCCATACCCACCAAGCCATGCCCACAGAATTGGTAGTAAAAAAAAATTAATCCCACCACTGGGTAAAATATACACTTTCTAGAACAAAAGTGCTAGAAGTTTTAAAAGCTTAGAAATTAATTTTTTAAATCCCTTAAGAGGTTTCATGCTATCACCTGCATTCTTTCTTCCTTGGGGAAAAAAATAGGTGTCAATTTTGTTTTGCCTTTTCACTATTTAAAGAGTACTGTAGATAGATAGAGGTAACATTATTTTTAATTTTTCCTCCAAGACTATGTACAACTAGGGCGAGTTTAATTCAATTTCTCAAAATATATGCAGAGGATTAGGCTTATTTGTAACATGAACAGATACGACAGGAAAATTCCCAGTCTTTACAGATTTTGAAATAATTCTCTGGCTTTTTTTAAAATAGGAAAAGTTGCTTTAGAGGCAAAAAATATGCTGTTTGCAGCACTTTTAAAGAATCTTGTAATTTGGAAATATGTGGATCCAAGTACATAATTCTACAATGTGATCTTTTTGATTTTTGCTTATTGTATTGGAGTTCAATCCTTATGTTATGTATCATGATTAAACAATCTGCACTTTTAACAAGTTGTGTGGACTCAGATTATGCATAACCATTAAGAGCAAAAGTCTCACTGCTCAAACAGGAGCTTTCTATGCTGCACAGTATGCTTCTTTTAAAACTGGATTAAGTTTCATAAATAAACTTAATTTGACACTTAATTCAGGGGTTGGCACTGAAAGGAAGGAAATCTAACATATTTTTTTTTATTCCCAGCAGAATTCTTTGAGACATAAGAGTGCATGAACTAAAAAAAAAAAAGAGATTATGCTAGCATTTAAGTGCATCAGTGACAGAATTTCCATGCTCAGCTTTCAAAAATTTAAACAATTCAGACTGTAGTCTAAGTCTTATATCAAGGTAAACAATTATATATTTGATAACAATATATTGGACACACATTTGTAAACAAAGACATCGAGAACAAGGTGGAAGATCTGGTAGATTAACAGTCTCTCACCTGAAACAACTCAAACACTATTATTTCAATGATTAAGAATGTCCATAGTAAGGTATTATGCAAAAATATACTGTTCAATGACTTAATTAATGAAAACATTTTTACTGTTAAATATGCAATACTAAGTAACAGAAGAAATACTTAGTAAATATAGTGCTTCCTAAGATCACACACAATTAGATGTATTTATCTACCCAAGAAATTATAAAAAATTCTATAATGTTTTAATAGTTGAATAATGCAATACAATAGAATATATGAAGCTCCAGATAGAATGGTGGAGTTTTTGGTGCTCTCTGAGGTTTGCTTGTAGATGTGTCATGACCCAACTAGGTAACATGATGTCTGCAAGCAAACAATCAATTTCAGAGAACACCAAGAACTCCACAGAACATTGCAGTATTGTGCATATTTACCTAGAATAGGCTGAGCAGCCTTTTTATGACTTCGGACCACACTTACCATACTTGGAAAGTGAGACTGAAACTGCAAAGGGCAGAACAAAGCAGCTGTATTACACTTATGGATGGGGCCAAATATTTTGGAATTTCTTTGTTCATATTTCAGATATTAATTTTCTCTTAAGCCTACATTAAGGTTTACTGTACTTTGCTTTTTGAAATTTCCATCTCCCAGTATAAAGAAACTATACTGCTAATTAGTTAGAATTAGTCTGTCCGCTGTAGCTGGAAGATTTATCTTTATAGAAAGCTTATCTTATACAGGTAGTCTCGGCTTATGATCACAATTGAGCCCAAAATTTATATTGCTAAGCAAGACATTTGTTAAGTGAGTTTTATCCCATTTTATGATATTTCTTCCCACAGTTGTTAAGTGATCACTGCAGTTAAGTTAGTAACACAATTGTTAAATGAATCTGGGTTTCCCATTGACTTTGTTTTGTCAGAAGGTCAAAAAAGGTGAACACATGACCTTGGGACACTGCAACCATCATAAATATGAGTCAATTGCCAACTGTCTGAATTTTGATCCCGGAGATGCTGCAACAGTCTTAAGTGTAAAAAATGGTCATAAGTCATTTTTTCAGTGATGTTGTAACCTTGAATGGTCACTAATGAACTCTTGTAAGTCAAGAGCTACCTGTATAGTATACATGTTATCTATATATATGAAGCTTTCTTTAACTTAGTGGTCTCCAGATGTGTTGCACCTACAACTTCCAAAATTCTGGAAATTCTATAAATCTAATATATATTTGTGCCTAGAAGATATCAAATTGGAGGTTATTATAAAGAGTATAAGCATCGGTACTAGAAAGTACAACGCCCAGAAGGAAGATGGGCAGGAGAAGTAGGATTTTACTGTAAATTTATAAAACAAAAAATGTCAGAAATCAAACATACCTGAGCTTATATTTTACACTTGAAATGTCAATGTCCCAAAGGTACTTTCCAAAAGGCAAGTGGACTTTCTTGATTTTTTCTCTTGATGTTTCACTTCTCACCCAAGAAGCTTCTTCATTTCTAACTGACTGGTGGGCAATGGAAGGATTTGCAGTCATGTTTGACAGCACTCTGAGGATCTGTTGTTAGTTCTCTGAAAGTTGTTGAAGCTGGTTGAGGGTTTATCTGTATCAGTATTTTCAATGAAAAGTCCAGTTGCCTTTTGGAAAAGCACCTTTGGGATAACCATGACCTGGATGATTAAGAATCTCCATAGACATTTGAAACGTCAATACAATTATTCTAATTCACTGTAACTAACCTTTTGACAATTAACAGTGCATTATGGGATCATCAGTTATTCTTATATAATATTACTACTTCTCCTTTTTTAGTTTACTTCTAGACAGCTGACCAAGACACCAAATCAAATTAATATTGATTTCTGAGACATAGCACAGCACTAAAACATAACCATTGCTGATTCCAAGCATATAGGAACTTTTGGTTAAACGAAGTCTTGAACGAGAGGAAAAAGCTGGCTTGTCAGGGATGAGGCAGGAACACATGTTGTAATTAAAAATTCTTAAAGCCATATTTAGATGACTGAAACACATTCCTATTAGTGAAAGTAAATTGGATATATAAAAATATCTAATTTGTGAAGTTAATGTTTATTGCTAATCTTGCTATCCCACCCAGGCATTCTTTATTTTTTAGAAAAAAATATGGCACTAGAAAGTAAAAAGAAATAAAATCAGTTAAGTACAACTGAAACAGATCCATTAATTTTTATTATAAATGTACTTGATCAATATATATATATATATATATATATATATATATATTTTCACGGGTATTTGTATGTGGATCTTTGGTTATTCTGGTTTTCTCCCGTGTAAAATTGGAAGTATCTCATGCGGGAGAAAACCCAAATAACCAAAGATCCATATATACACACACATATATATATATATATACACACACAATGTGTATATACACACACACAATATATCACTTTGTACTGACGTAAATTGGATATATATATATATATATATATATATATGTGTGTGTGTGTGTGTGTATCCTATTTACGTCAGTACAAAATAAAAAATAATTGAAATAAATAAAATTAAATTGATAAAAATATTTTATTGGAATATAGTTATAAAATATAATTATCCCTTGCAAGAAGATTGTTTCAAAAGTGTTATCTCCCAATTTCAAAATTTATTTGTTACCATTGATCAGAATGAAAAGTCATACACTGGTAACCTGTATGTACTGTACTTGTTAATGCACAAATCCCATCTAATTAACTGAGTACAATATATACAATAACCTTGATGTGCAATAATTTGCACACCTTTGGCTGTTAAAAGCAGTGTTGCAATTTTTTAAAAGTAAAAAAAATGTTCTTTTGAAATGATGTTTCTGGCCTACTATAGGCACATATAAATTTTCTTCATTGCTGGAAATGATAGATCTTGTCTGCATAAGACAGATCTACAATATTTTGCAAAATAGTTATTGGTGGTTCTGTTTCATATGGTAGTATTTTTCAAAGAAAGCTACAAAGAATTAGGTGCAATCCCTGAAATGATACTTTAAAAAGTGACACTGTCAAGTATTTTTATGTTTACATTTTTGTAAGTTTTCCATTATCTGCATTCAAAAGTTGCTTACACTTTTTACTCTTGATAGATTAATAAATGTTGCATTCTCCATTTTTGCCCTTCTCTGCTAATTTTTTCTAGTACTCAGAGAATTTCTGCTCTACAGTGAATATTATTTCTTAATTAGTTTAGCTCCCCCTCTGGCTGAAAATGGCATTTTACAGCATACAATAATAAAGAGGCATGAATCAACAGTGTCTAATTTTAACTCATTTATTTAATTTCTCAGACAGAGCAACTTAAAAAAAAACAAGTGGAATTAAAATGAACACAATTGCCATGCTGTGATAGTCTGAAAGGGAGATCATATTTTAAAAGTTACTTGACAGTGCCCCTTTCATTTAAAAATAAAACAAAAACAGACTTATGTTTATATTGCAGTGGATTTCAAGTTTTCTTGCATTTCATACAAAATATCATTATGACTGGATCTTTCCTACGACACTGAAAACATATTCAGGAAAAATAAGGCATGTCTTCCAAAAGCTAGATGCTTGGCACATTTGAACATACTGTTTTTAAAATACCAAATATGATCAAATATACCATTACTTTTATTCATCTGGCCATTTATTCAATCTAAGCAAGATTCTTTCACTATTGCTTATTTTAATTGTGAGTTATTGTACCTTTATCAAGTACTGAGCACCTCAACTGGAAAAACATGAATTCAAATCAAGGTAATTTATGGTTCAAATCAAATAACATCAGATTGAACAGGTCCTAAGGTATCTAGTGTGCCTATGGGAGAAAAAGATTCTTAGACTTGGGACACCAAATTCTTTTGGAACTGGACTAAGATATAATAAAAGGAGAATTATACAATTCACGTGTCATCTTGTTTCTTCATATAAAGCAGGGATCTCCAACCGTGGCAACTTTATGACTTGTGGACTTCAACTCCCAGAATTCCTCAGCCAGTCCATGCAGTGCATTCTGGGGATTGAAGTTCTCAAGTCATAAAATTGCCAAGATTGGAGATCCCTGATATAAAGGACTGTATTCTCAGATACACAGGGAAAGGATTTTTGAACTTTGACTCTCAGGAAAGAACCATAAACAAAACATATATCTGTTGACTAAAATTAGCTTCAACATTGCCTGGAATCAGACAACAGATTTTTAGAGGATCAAAAGTGGTAGATAAGAACTAACTGCCTACACTATGTATCTTCATTCTAGTTTTGCCTTTGATAAACATACGTTTGTTATGTTATATAAATCTGGTCACAGGCAACAGTGGGGCAAATAAAATGTACATTCACACCCTGAGAAGCAAAGTACTCACTTAAAGTCTCTTTACAGGTCTTACTGTCTATGTCCACTCTAAAACAGAGTTGAGTATTTTGCTGTTACACAAGTTTGATTTAATTCAAGTGGAACAAGACTATCCCTCTCCCCATACAAAAAAGTTATTGCTAAAAACAATACTTCTGCCAATCTCTAGAAATAGACCTTAGACACTGTAGGAAATTGTGGAACTTACAAACAAAATAGCAAAAATTAAAACATTTAAGCTTTTCAACTACCCACAGCATGGAAAATGCAGTCCTTTCTACATCACAGTTCAAATACAGTATAAACCGCCTACAAATGCTCCAATTAAAACAAAGCAAATCTGACACTCAATGTTTTTTACTTGCGTCCGAAAAGTATCACACTGTGCACCATGGAAGCTTACTTTTTCCTTATGGAAAAGTGCATCTTAGAAAACAATTGTAATAAATTCCAGTGATTCTAAAAAAAATTCCTAACCACTATATTATTGCACATTTGGTGCTATATAGACACCATTAGCAAATATATTAAACTAGAAATAAAGGATACAACTGAAACAGACTTGTCTTAATAACTTATAATACAACTCTAAAGAAGAGGATTATTTTTAACCCAAACATACATTTCTTTTGAACCATCATTGTCTTACCTAGACCCAATCTCTTACAATCAATGAGAACCAAAACACAGTTCTGTTCCTACAGGTAGAATCTCCTACATACAGTAGTTAAATCCACACTGATAAATTTGTTTAGAAAATGAATACGCTCAGAAACTCAAGAATCAACAAGATTCTTGTTTTGTCCATTCTTCCTACAGAATTTCAACTATTTTTTTTTATGTTTTAAGGCATCATTTATTGTTTTTCACTTGCAATGATGATAGTCATGCAGCAGTTTAATGATAAAAATATATTAATATTTTACTATACAGCAGCAAGTAGTTAGTCAATTAAAAGCACAAACATTTTAAAGAAAAATCTGTAAAAGTATATTACTACAAATAATTGCAAGTTGGAGAACACTTCCAGAAAGGTTAGTATTCTCACAGACTGTTTTTATACTTTACAGCTTTAATATATATCACACAAAGTACATAATTATAACTGAAGGTTTGCACACTTGGGGGAGGAGTCAATACTACATGAATAAAGTATGTAGCCAGTAATAACTAGCACCACAGCTACATGAAAATTTCTTTACAACACATCAACTTGGCTTTTACTTTTAAAGGAAATTCAAATCCATGGCTCAGTAGGATTACACCATAATTATGTTGAACTGATGTCTACGACAGGCCTACACAAGTTAGTTAGCACTAGCATAAACTGGAGTTTTGATTTGAGACTCTGAACAAATTAAAAGAATAGTGCTAGTGGCCACACAAAAAACCCTTACCACCTGTTGTTGAAAAAAAAGGCATACTGAAAATTGCTGCATGTTAAAGTACTTTAAGTACACTTCATAAAAATATATATATTATGAACAATACAATTACATCTCATATACACAACAATGACAGGATACCTACTTAGTTGTAAACCAAACAGGTGCAGAAAAATATGGGAGATCATTTCTCTCTCTCTCTTTTTACTATTTGAATAACTTTGGTTCAAACCATAAAAATCACAAGTTAGCAAATTTCATTTAAATGCCTTTTTAATATTTTTCTTAATGTTCACAGAAGTTTCACTGACCATTTTATATGCTTAAGGTCCAGATGCAATGCATATTGTATAAAAGAGAGCACTTATTGTTTACCTTGCATGAATTAAACCTACGTACCTTTTAACTCTACAGACTTCTGCATAACATTTAGACAAAGCTCAGACACACAGCATGCCTAGCCCTCATATATATATACACATCTCTAATCACAGGTATATAGGGTGTCAAATATACTATAATAACCTCCATGAAAGGTTTTGAAATTTGGTAACAAAATGAGAAGAAAAACTAAAAATATTATTTTACGTGTTCTAAAATATCTCTTTTTTGTGCTAAAGTCAAATGTTAGCTCAACATGAAAAGGACATTTTCTCTTTTTTAATATAATTCAGCAATATTTTAATCTTGACCATTTTTGCAAACACTTTTTTAATAATAATAGCTTAAACGTGTACAAAAGTTCTTGGTTAATTAGGGAAATAAACACTCAGTTCTTTATATCTTTTTAATCAAGTAGGAAACACAGTTCATCTTATATAATGTTATTACTTTTTTTGTAATTTTTTGTTTGTTTGTTTTTAGCAGCTGCTTACTGTTTTATACGATGAGCAAGAGTGGAAGGAACAATCCAGCGATGGGGTGGAGAGAAAGAAGTTGCTTGCTCGGCTGTCAGTTTTGGTGGTGGATAGGTAGATGGTGCTCCCCTTGGAGTTATAACAGGTATATTTAACGGTATGCATTATTTTCGGCTTGTGGATGTTGATTTTCTCTCTCTTTCTCTCCCTTACAGTATAAAGTCTTTCTCTGTGTGTTGTTGTCATTATTACCAGTGTCTCTGTGCAGCAGGGCAGGGAGGAGGCAGCCAAACGGGAAGGAGGGATGTGGAGAGGAGGGAGGAAAGATAGATGGAGATCAATCCTCCTCTGGCTCCTCCGCCTGCAGCAAGGCTCCGGGCGGGCCAGTGGCGATAGCGGTGCTGCTGCTGATTTCGGTCTCTGGCTGCTGCTCTGTTCCGCCGGAGGAGGAGGAGGATGCGGCGGCGGCGGCGGCCCGCTTGTCTCTCTGCTTCTCCTGGATCTTCTTCATCTCGTCCGAGTACTTGCAGAAAGTGTGTCCGAATTTGGCCCACACCTTGTAAGGGACGGTGATGGAGTTGCGGTAGGTGGGCTTGACCTCGCTCACCCGCATGAAAACGCCGTACTTGTTGGAGCCCACGTCGAAAAAGAACCGCTTGTTATCCACCGTCAAGGAGGTGCCCTCGGGCAGCTCGGCCGGCTCCTCCTCCACGCCGTAGTCGTCGATGAGCTTGGCCAAGGCGTCGCGGAACTCGATCAACCCTTGCGCTGGCAAGGCGATGGTCTGGCCCTGTGTAGAGCCGAGGCCTGGGCCGCGGTTGACTGTCTGGCGGATGCGCAGGAATCGCCCGCGCTGGTTCTCCTTCAAATCCATGTAATACTTGCGGTTCTCGCGCACCAGGAATTCGCTTTTCAGGGCCCGCCGGGGCTCGTCCGCGGCCTGCGCCAGCTCCGGCGGTTGGCTGGGCCCCAGCTGCGCGTAGTGCTCGATGAAGTCGCCCAGATAATCGCGGAATTCCACCGCCACTGACATCGAGAGCGTCAGGCGGCTCTTGCTGCCTCCCGCACCCACCTCCGCGATCTTCAGGAAGCGGCCCTTCGCGTTCTGCTTGACGTCCAAGTAGAAGCGCTTGTTCTGGATGTCCACCCGCTTGGAGGCCAGCTCCTGCGTCTCGTGCTGGAGGCCAACCCCGCCGCCGCTACTGCCGGGCCCGCCACCGCCGCCAGGGCCCGAGCCCGGCGCCCCGCCACCGCCCTGCTCGCTGCCGCTGTCTCTATCCGCCATGATGCCTTCGGGCTACCCGACGCCCGCCTGCCTGCCTGCGCCCCCCCCGGCCGCCGCCGCCGCCGCCTCCTCCTCCGCCGCCGCCGCCGCCCGTCGCCGCTACTGCTCCTGCCGCCGCCGCCGCTCCAACCCCCTCCGCAGCCACCAGCAGCAGCCGGCCGCTCTCGCGAGATCTGTGGAGGAGACAGAAAGAGAGAGAGCGGCTAACATGGCAGAGGGGGAAGCGCGCGACTGGGCAGAGGAACGGGGAGAGGAGGAGAGCGCGAGAGCGCGAGGACCAAGAGAGGTGCCCGGGGATCGGAGACGGCAGCGCCTCGCCGGGTTAGACTGGGCGAGGGCAGGAGGCGCTCGCTTCTTGGCACTCAGGCCCCACCCACCCGTCCTCCGCCCGGCTATCGCTCCTTCTTCTCTTCGTCCGCGCCGCCGCCGCCGCCGCCGCCCGTTAGCAATCGGCCAGGCCCCGCACCCGCCCTCGCGCTGCGCCAGGCCAGCCTCGCCAGGGACACAGACTCCGCCCGGCCCCAGCTTGCGCGCGTTTGGATTTCCCCCCCTCCTTCCTCACGCTCACCCCGACTGAGGCCGCCACCGACTCTGTCGCCGCCGCCGCCGCCGCCTCTCCTTCGGGAGAGATGGACCCGGTGGGGGGAGGAGGGCAGTCTGCTATTAAACGCGAATACGCGTCCGCCTCGCCAGAGTAACTGTCTTTCCTCTCCCAGCTTTTAGAAGTCTGCATGTGCCTCAGGTCTGTCTGCGGACCCAAACAGGACAGAAAAAGAAGCTCCCCCTGCGTCCTCCTCATCCCGCCTCTTGGCCCATTAAGTAGACCCTTCCGTCGCCCGCCGTCCCCAAGGAGGAATTGCACCCGCGCCCTTCGCCTGTCTGCAGGAGGCGAAGTGTTCAAGCGAAGAGAGAGCCCGGAATAGTCCGCACCTCGCAAGAGGCAACCGACGATCCCACTACCTCTTCCTTGACGCCAACTCAACCCTTTGAAAGTATAAATCAATGCCACCCAACTCCGACGTGTCGGGGTCATTCCTACATATGACAGCTCATTCCTTTTGAAATTCGCACCATTTTCCCCGTCTGAAGCTCCCCAATTGAAAACTGCATGACTTCAAAGGCCAGCTTCTAGGATGCTTTCCAGGGCTTCATAATAGAGCAACCTTTACCTTCAGGATTACATTGTTATACAAAGAATTTAGAAAATGTCCCTCTCAGCTCTTAAGAGCTTTGGTAGGCCTGCTGGCCTGTCAAACTCTAAAACCTTCCCAGGTACCTTACCTTGCAAAATGGGGAAAGAGCCTGTGCTTACTTGCCTTACTGAATGCATGAGTTTGGAGGGATCTTTCTTTTTGAGGAAGGCCGTTTTGTGTGCAAATCATACTGTCCTCCCAGCAGAGGGTCCAAGCAGTTTCCAGAACAGAATAGCCTTTCCGGATTAAATCAAAGATCCATTCTCTCCTGCTACTTTTCTCAAAGTGATCTGCAGTGCTCTCGTCAAAAGTTGAACAGTAAAGGGTGTTGAGTTAGATGGGAGTTCAGCCTAGCCTAATCCTTAGATGTTTACTGCCTGAAATGTGAAAGCAACCAATCTTCAGTTACAGTAAAGTCTTGCTGCTCATAATATTACAATTTCTAAATAATTTTTTTTCCAAGCTAAATCCTGGAACTTATTTAGCTTTTCTTAATAGGGAATTTTACCTTACTTCTTCAGTTGTGCTCAAGTTCAGGGCTAAAATGAACACAGCCTCTATGAAACACGGTGAAGAAATAAAGAAACTAATGACCTGAAACCAGAATGCCCGCAGTAAAATGGAATAGATTGTATGCATCAAAGCATCTTTACTGGGGAAATTGCAATTTTTATTAACTTGAGGCAGAAAAATGCCACAATCTTTGCTATTTTGCACTTTATGATACAATATATTATTGAGGATATAAGCCGCATAATAGTTCTGTGTGCATATCCACAATAGTTCTGAGTGCATCTTGAAAGACAAGTTTCTTTTCCTGTGACTAGACACCAGAACCAGTTCATTGAAACAAAAGCAGTACCACTGGAACAACACACAGGCTTTCCAGGCCTTGCTTTCCTTTTTCCTTCTCCTAGATTTTTTCTCTGCCATGAGAAAGTTTGAGAGGCAATCTCAGCCAAGTCAGCCTTTGATTTAGTATCTACAAACTGCATATTCTAAACGGTCCATGCTGGAGAGCACCCATTTTCATCAAGGATAACTCTAAGTATTTGGAAGCTGCACTACTACTAGAAAACAAAGAAAACGAATACCCAAAATCGTCTTTCCAAACGGTTTTAAGAGTAACCAACAGACTATTTCTCACGGGCATTCGACTCCTGGAAGGTTGAAAGCTGGCATCTGCTAGGTCCAAAACTAGAGGGAAACGCTAACTCTAGCGCCTCAATAGTTCGGACTCAGGCCGTCCTTGCAACTCCGACGATGCACAATGTCTTCCTACCCTGCGGTTCGCTCCCGGGTTCAGCTGCGGTGGAAGAACGATTCCTGGAGTTTGCGCTATAACCTGACATCCAGGAACGCAGTGAAAGTCGCGGGCTGCGCTAAACTAACTCGCCCATTCCCTCCTGGAGCTGGGCGGCGTGACCCGCCTGAGCGGAAGGGCTTTTTACCCGCGAGGATCATGCTGAGAGTGGGGAGAGCTGTCTTACGAGCAAGCCGGGAAGAAGCTGAGATCCACCCGGGAGGTCCCTTCCTCCTATATTGCTACGCATTCCCCGCAAGGAAAACCCGGAACGTCGTCTTATCGGTAGCACCTCCAGCAATGTCACCTAAAGGTGGGCTGGGCAGGTTTGACTGGCTATCTTTATCACCGAAAATTTATCTGTTGAAATAGGTTGGATACTTAACGCTTCTTTATTTTTTAGCTATCAAGATATATTCTCCATTTACAATAATCAGTTAACTAGCAAACCAAGCCGCACTGCCTTTCTCTGTAAGGCAATGTGGAAAGGCATTTAAAAACAGGTCCGGTTAAGCTTAGATATATTAAGATACAGATGCTAACCTCTCAGACTACCTAATTACCAAATTACCTTTGATAACCAAGGAGGCAACAGATTATAAAATCCCGCTTGGGCTGGGAAAGAACCATTACTGAACTAGGAAGGCAGGCAGCTCGTTTTTAAAATCTACGGTATTAAAGTTCCCAATAATTATACAATAAAAATTAAGAAATATTCTATTGGCAATTTGGCAAATATAACTATCTTGGATGGATGAAATTTATTTTTTATGCATATTACACCTGTTCTAAAAATATATTTCAACGGATACCCAATATATAATGGTATTCTGACAGGTATTTTGATTCTAATAAATACTAGTCTACATAAGTTATGTAAATTTAGTTTTTTTTTTTTTCAGAAATAGAATTCCATTTTAACAGCCTGGCTTAAAAAGTTTATTTCTCATAAGAAGTTGAATCCCAGATTGTGAGCATGACAACAGATAATTGTATAAACCAAATAAAGAACTACTTCAAATATTTTCCACTACTAAAAGCATAAAGACTTTTCAGATTTAAGATGTGCTGCATAATATAAAATAGTATATGCTTCATAAAATAAAATAGTTAAAACTATTTGAAATACTTTTAAAATACAATACAAATATTTGTTTAGAAAGCATTTGATTGTATATATTATTTAGCTTTTTCAGTTTGTTCAACAAAGTGCCAAAATTATTGTTTTATGATGATATTCAGTCTTGTCTAAACTGAGGTCTGTATTTTAGAACAAAATGGACAGTTATTATCCTATAATTCCTTGCTAACAATTTATTTTAAAAAATCAATGAATTTAATATGACCAGAAACAACTATTTATTCTGATATACATTTTCTAACTCCTATCTCTTCTATGAAAAAAGTAATGAAAAATATTTCAACCACACAAAGTTTCTTTTGTTTTTTGTTAAATAAGCATTAAAAATAGTTATTAATTTAATTGCAAAAGTTCTAGCTTTATTCTTAAAAAAGGGAATGTAAATAGTAAGTCACATACACAAGGGATGTGATATATTTAACAAATAAAACAAAATGTAGGGTAATAAAACTTCATCACATAACCTTAATCACAATCTTTTGTCATCATTGGTATCTAAATATGACTTCAATTACTAAGAACATTTTTAAATTAATAAAAACAAAACATTACTATAAAGACATATGTTTATAACAACCTAACTCATTTATTTGGAGATTGCTTACTATCTTAAAACATGGTCTCACAAACATTTTGAAGCTTCAATAAAATTGAGGAATTTTATTTTTCCTTCTTAAAGGAAGTTTGTTCGATTGTGGCTCTGCAGAAATTAAAATAAAGCATTCATAAAACACCCATATCCAAAGTGAAAATGAGATCAACTTTAATATATAATTATAACTTAGTTCTATACATAGTATACAATCTTACTTTTGCCACAATAAACTAACAATCAAAGTGCAGTTTTAAAAACAGGAAGCCTGTATGATATTGAACCATTCCTAAAATGTTATAGAAAGTTGTACAACATTAAATTGCTAAAGCCTTAAAATGTATGTATGTAATATGCATGGCTTCTAAAATTTTAGAAATCTCTGGCATTGATACCATACATTGTAAAAATATTAAGTGTATAATTATTTCCAATGTAGTTAGATTCTACAGATGAATTTAAATGGATATTTCAGACCCCATAAGAAAAAGAGTTAAAATAGAAATTTGAAGCCACTGCAGAGGATTAAAATTTCTGAAGTATTATAATATAAAGCATTTCATTTTATTCAAATTAAACTGTTTATTTCTTTGTAAAAGCAATTTTTAAAGATGTATTTTTGTCAAAACCTCAAAATGTTGTTTCTTGTTGGCTATTAACATTTCTATTAATCTTTTGATATAATTACAGATGGAGGTAATATATCTGATCATATTACTCATTTATTATTAACTATATTTGCAACAAGCATGTTTATATTGAAATGAAAAAAATAAAATAAAAAAAACCTCTCCTTTTTACCTGTAATATTCAGAACAAGTTTAGAAAAAGCAAGAGATTTCCCTGCACTTTTAAAGCACAGAAACCAATAATCAAGTTTGGGATTATGCCATTTATGATAAGGGTATTTTTACCCCTGGTAATTTTCCTTTTTATCATGCTGTATCTGAAAAAGTTTAATATTTCAGAGATATGATTGTATTATTTCATATATGAATAGAAGCTACCTTAAAATATCACAAATTGGCAAGAATGCATTTTCCTAACCTTCAAAATGCCAATAACTTAAAAATTTTAGCAATATTTATTTAGCTGGCACCATTTATCACAAATAAAATTTAATTATGATAAAATGACTCAATCATATTACCATTTAAAAAAATCCTTCAATAATTGGAAAAATATTAATTTTGCCCCAGCTAAGTGATATTTTGCATATGCATATTTTGCATGTCTCTGATGTTTGTTTTAAATGGTTCATTCAGAAAGATGCTGAAGACCTGTTTCCAAAGTGATAAAATATGTGTGTACACAAGGTCTAAAACTTGTATTTTATTTATACTATGCACCTCTAGAAAGAAATATATTAAAATAATTGAAATTTGCTTCTGAATACACTCTTGACTTTTTTTAAAAAAAATCTGTACATGTCTTCTTTTCAATCATTTAATATAAAGTCCTTGAGTTCAATCTTACTGACTCAAGTGTGTCTTATTTCTAAATATATATGTAAAAGATCACCCTGAAAATATCAGTGGTATCGCCAGATGATTGTTAAAATGAAGAGGACAGACACATAAAGTACAGATCCAATCAACTTCATACTAATATGTGAAAATTGGGATGGATACTAAATTATTGCAATTATTTCTGCTTGTGTGGTAGTTATTAATGTTAGTTACAATTTTAACATGAACATTATGGTTCTGTCTTATGAATTATCAGTGGATTTCACCAGTGGTATTCGATCTTGCTAAGAAGATGACACCTTTGAATACTACCTGCCAGCCTTCAGACCGATCCGCTACATATTTACTCGGAAGTAAATTGCTTGATATGTGATAGACTTAGTAGTCCTAGAAAAACTGTACAAGATGTTTAAACTACAAATCAATTTTGTAACTTATTTAATTACTGTATTTAAGGCAGGCGTTGAATGTGCCAGTCGCATATAATATCAGGAAAATTTAGTCAGGATTGAAGTTTTCATTTTAGAATGTGAGGCAGCGATCCATCCCCGCCCCAAACCAAGGTCGGCTCCTGCCGAGCGGAAAACGTCAAGCTGAAGCACCAGCGGACGCGATCCTTCCAAAGGAGAGAAGGGGGAAGGGAGGCTCCTTCGCAGATCCCCGCCCCTCCCGCTCTGGGTCCGCTTGGCAGCTCTCCGAGGGAGTCGTGCAGCGCTTACCACCTGCCCTGCTGTGGTGGCGACTGCAGGAGGAGCAGGAGGAGAGCAGGCCTCGGTAGCCCTGGTTTTCCAGCCCGCTCAGGCCGTTTCTCCTCTCGGCCTCAGAGCGAGTCGTGGCAGGCGAGTAGCGTCATTAGGCACGTAACCGGCGCCTCGTATTTGACATTGTCGCCAGAGCGCCGCCTTCTGTTCTGCTTCCATCTCAGCTGAGCGAAGAGGGCCTATTTAGGGAAAGGGCTTCTTGGGCTGAGCCGAGGTGCGTGTCTAGGGCCTCAACGCTGAGCGGTAAAAGGGATCGCTGTGTGCAGTAAGGGTTGCTGTATTTGGTGTAGGCCAGGGAAACAAAGGCGAAGCTTTTCCCTTGCGGCTCTTTTCGTGCAATACATGTGCCCGCCGCGCTGCACAAAATCGTTATAGTATAGAACAGAACACGTTCGTGGTTTTTCTTGCGACAAGAACCGCATGCAAGCATAGATTAGGGTTCGTGCTTGTTCTGTGCAATTCTAGTGAGAGGAAGCCTCAGCAATCGTGGAAACGCAGCTTTGAAGAGAACTTCGGTTTTGGAGCAAAAAAAGGGGGGGGGGTTGTTTATTTATTTTGCCAAGCGATTATAAGATAACAGGTATAAGTATAACAGTTATGAATACATGAAATGGATACATATAAGAAAAATAAAAAGAAACAATAGGACAGGGACGCTAGGCAAGTTATGCACTCCCCCTACAATCCTAGTATGGGGGGGGGTGCAAAGAAGATTGCAAAGAAGAAAGCTGCATATAACGCCCTCATTCTGGGTAAGAATATTGTATAGTATTTAATGTCTACAAAAGAAACCAGGAATGCATAGCTTTATGGCCCTTTTTGGGTTGCAAGCCACCTGAACCTTAACCAGAATAGTAGGGGTAATGGAGGTTTTAGGTTATCAGTTTCTGGAAGGCCTAAACTCCACCCGTTTTAGTGCACCTCTACATCCTGCCAGATTACACCACAGATAATCCTATGAACAGGGCTGAATTAATGCTACTTATGACCAGACCTCATACTTAGGACAGTTGCAGCAGATCAGTGGTCATATGGTTGCAATGTGAGAATTTGGCAACCAGATTGGAGTTACAATTATGGCAGCATCCTGCACTCATGTTTTGGCTATTTGTGACCTTCACTGCTGGCTGGCTTTTGATAAGCAAAGTCAATGGGGAAGCTGGCAGGAGGTTGCAAATGTCACATGACATGCTTAATGACAGTGTTAGGGTTTGCTTAACTGTGACAAGGGAGGTGGGAAGAACATGGTCATGGAACATTAATGAGGATTGTATACTGTATAGCCTAATAGCATAGCTCTCCTGATGTTCCATAATACACTATTTGCATTATGTTATCTACTGTTCTCTTTTAGACTATTTCCCCATTTGTGGCTTATTGCAATCATTCTTGAAGTGATACTTGGCCTAATTATTATTACTTTGCACTAAGTTCATACTAGGGAAATGGTTTTATGTTCTGGTACTTTTATGAATCCTTTCTGATATAAAGGACACATTTGGGATGGGTATCCTTTTGTTTAGGAAGATATGACAACTTGCCCCAAAGCAAGACTATTCCATCCAGAATAGACGTCAGTCCTTTAATTTCAAGGGGGGGGGGGGATATTGCAATCTCATGGAAGATGCAGAGAAATTTATTGTAACCTTTTTGTTAGCAGTGATAATGATTGTTAGCAGGAAATATTTACGCAAAATCAGCACATTAATATTAGTACCATCTAATATTTTTAAAAGGATATTTGAAATAAAATGTTTGATATTTATGGTTTATGTAACATTGACAGACTGACAAGCTACACTTGGCATGACTGTAAGGTCAAGTAAAATAAACCACAACGAATTTGACTTGATGTGATTTGAGAGCAAGGCCAAAGAAAAATTTTGAAGTCATTCTATCTTGTCAGTGTAACAAACACTTTTTTCGTGTTTTGTTGTTATGTCACATTTTGCACTTCATTGCTTAGGTAATGGATTTCTTCTGTCTCCATCATCTTCATGTTCGTTACTTTATCTTCAGCTCTATAGTTATCTTTAAATGACATCACTGGCATATTACCAGCTTGAGATCAGTGCCTGGGAAAATCCTAGAAAGGATCATCAAGCATTTAGGATTTCCAGACACTAAGAAGAGAACAAGCTAATTACTAAAAAAAAAGAATGAATTTATTAAATATAGTTTAAATCCTAATGCTTCTATTTGTTGTTTATTTGATAAATTGGTAGAATAAGAGTATGTGATGAATGTAATGGATTCAGTAATGCTTTCTTTCTGATAAAATGAAATATGAGATGGATAGTTCTACTGTTTGTTGGATTTATAGGTGATTGAAAAAATATATTCAACATGTGGTTCATAATGGATCTATGTTTACATGGAGGGAAATAATATGAAAGAGTACCATAGGGTTCTGTTATATGATCAGTGTTCTTCAATATTTTCCTACAGTTAGGCAAAGAGATAGAATGGATGGTCATCAAACTTTGTACACCCAAATCTGGGAAGGATTGCTAATAGACTGAAAAGAGGTCAAGCTTAAAATATATTGTGATAGATGTGAACAGGGTCTAGGACGGCTCACCATGGGTGACCTGCCCCAACTGACTTGTTCCTGGCTATTTTGCTGACTCACCCTGGCAAACTCACCACAGGACAGCTTGTCCTGGCCAAGTCCCCACAGGACAATTCAGTGCGGGCTAACTTGAGATGGTCAATTGAATTGCAGTAGGCCTTATTTTGCTTTAGGTTTGAATCTTCTCAAGTAGCAGTCCTTGAGACTGGGTGAGTCAGTGGGCCAATGCCAAGATGTGTGCTCCATCTGTCAAGTTGTGGAGCAAGTGTAATACACCTGGGTAGTCCCTGTACAGGCCCTGACCATGAGGAGGAAGCCTGCCACTGCTGCTTCTTCATGGCATGCTGTCAAGCTTCGAAGTAATATGTCTCCTGAAATAAAATCCAATGTGTCCATCTTTCTTTAAAGTCTGTTTATTAGGAACATATCAAATTGGCAAGGACTCGGTAGAATTCCAACTCTGGTTAGATTCCAAAAAACCCAGTAAAAAGCAAAAATTTGAAACTTTTTCCCCAGAGTCATAATCTCCAATCAATTCTCATCCATCAGTCCAGTGACTCCAAACTCCAGCTTCCACCAACTGCTGGTATCTTCTTGATTCTCATGGGGAAAAAATGCCACCTAGACATAACATTCCCCCTTTATCTCTATAACCCCCTTTCAACAGCTAGAGAGTGGTGAACCTAAAATAGCATTAAATTCCTTTGCAGAAAGCCTAAAGAAGCGAGGAAAAGAATATACAAATGCTGGAATAAAATATGGCTACATATATGTCATCTTCAGGGTCGACAGGCTGCCCTACTTCAAGCCAAAAGAACTTCCTGCAAAGAGATAATCACAATACATTAGATAAACTCTAACCTCCCCTGCCACCTCCAGGAACCCTTTTAGGCTTGTGAGGTTTCCTCTCATGAAACTTTTGTATTAATCTGTCAGCATTTACAGGTGAAACTCGAAAAATTAGAATATGGTGCAAAAGTTCATTTATTTCAGTAATGCAACTTAAAAGGTGAACCTAATGTATGAGATAGACTCATTACATGCAAAGCAAGATAGTTCAAGCCGTGATGTGTCATAATTGAGATGATGATGGCTTACAGCTGATGAAAACCTCAAACCCACAATCTCAGAAAATTAGAATATTGTGAACAGGTTCAATATTCTAGGCTCAAAGTGTCCCACTATAATCAGCTAATGAAGCCATAACACCTGCAAAGGGTTCCTGAGCCTTTAAATGGTCTTTCAGTCTGGTTCAATAGGAATCACAATCATGGGAAAGACTGCTGACCTGACAGTTGTGCAGAAAACCATCATTGACACCCTCCATAAAGAGGGAAAGCCTCAAAA